AATAATTTATGAAAGGCTTGGTCCCTAGACATCGTCAATGTAGGCCTACATACAAGTTAGAAAATACGAATAGACCTGATAGAGATTCGATTGTCAAATTAATACTGACTTAATAGGAAGACCCGGCCCAGCCTCCACCCACTAAACCTTTAAAAATTTAACACAAATTGAGAAAAAAAAAAAGAAAATTCTACTCAACTTTAAGGTGCCATAATCATAAAAATGTTCTTACCTCAGCCCCAACCATATGGTGGGGCTGAGGTAGATCGTCCATCTGTGAAAGCCTCTCTGAGCTACCTCTATTACAAATTCCTGGATCTATGTTGAACCCACGTGAAAACGTCCACAATAACAATCACAAAAATGTAACAACACCCACGAGGGAGCTATCGCATTATGTGGGCGATGATCGTTATTACATTGAGTGGACGCTGTTTGCTACATTTTGTGGAAGCTGGTTGTTACATTTGTGGGCATTATTACATTTGTGGGCGGTGTGTTGTTATATTTGTGGTTGTTATTACATTTGTGGGCATTTTCACATTGGTTTCAACAATCCGCCACTGTAAACTGTGATAATGTTATGAAATTTTTCAGCACGTTTGAGTAAAAAGATGAATAGCTTTATAGTTTTCATGTTTCAGAGAACGTAGGTCGCCAGGTAGTAGGACGGTCACGCATGAGTGATTCCGTTCTAGCATCATACAAATTGAAAGCTCCCTAATATTGTTTTCGTTAAAAAACTCTGGATGATTTGATTAAGTTTATTCAGTGAGATATTTTTATATTTTCTACAGATAGAATATATGAGTATATATCGTAAAAATACACATACAGGTCAATATGTCCATTATGATAGCTTTGCTCCATGGAACCATAAGATCTCCTGGATTCGTAGTTTAGTTTCTATAGCCCACAGATTGTGTACTCCTGATAAACTTCAAACAGAGCTTAGTAACATCAGGAAGTTTATGTCTTGGAATGGGTACCCTTTAAAAGTTGTTAATAATGTTAATTAAATGAACCTAAATGTATACATAGGCCTACTGATGATAACTTAATTAAGATTTGGGTTAGATTGCCTTATCTAGGAAAACCAGGTGAGTTCATTTTACGTAGATGTTTAAATAAGGTAAAGAAACACTTAATTAAAGAGGTAAAATTCATAACTTTATGGCAGTATAAAAATGTTTCTCATTTTATATCTACTAAGGATCAAACCCCTAAGGAGTACAGAAGTTCTGTTGTCTATCATTTTAAATGTCCAGGCTGCAATAGTGATTATATTGGTAAGACAGATAGGTGCTTAATAACTAGACAGATGTGTATAAGAGACAGACAATATGCATGGTACAGTACCAACATTCTCAGTTGATATTGTCATAGCAACATCAGTTGGAAATGTATTGTCATAGCAACATCCTCCATTGATATTGCTATAGTGCTTTGATCTTTTGTTTAAATCACTGCTATGTCACCTACTAGAGGTAATGTTTTGATTGGTTAAACACTTTTGGTACTAGTGCATATAAGCTTGCTAATATGGATATTTTTTCATTCCTGATGATGACATAATTAATGTCGAAATATTGAATCCCAACACGATGGCGTGTATTTCAATACTTGGAGTATGTATTATACTTTCTTAGAACTTTTTAATAATTTAAGTTGGTGCAGAATTATTAATTATAGTTTATGTCACTATTATGAAATGGATTATTCCTTTGTTAATGTTATTTCTTCCTACAGGAACTTTTTCCTAGTTACTTTTTTCTGATTTCCCGGCAAACTGTTTTCAGTTAAAAGTCTAACTCAATAAACAGGATTGAATGAAGTATACAGTATATTATTATTCTTTATTCACAACTGTGCATATTAACAGAAAGACTAACTTTCCATTGTTTTCAATATAAGTGAAAGCCAATAAAACTATAAAATACAGTATCAGCTTCAAGTTTTATAGCGTAGCTTTATAGAGAGCACCTTCCTTAGTTCCGTATCCATCCACCTTTGCCTGTGCGTTTCGTGCTTCTAACCATGTTCTGTCATATAAATCTACACCCTCTGCAGTGCCTCGTCGTTTATTTTTTTCACTGCTTTATATATGCATTTACTTATAAAGAATATTAAATAACAGGATTACCTAGCATTAGAATTGCATTTCTTAAAATTATTATATGCAGCATAAAAAACATTACTGTAATTGAATTAACAACATAACAAAACAAAACAAAAACACAATAAGAATTCAAAGCACATTATATTAGGTCACATTATCCTAAAACACATTAAGCCTTTTAAAAAGCAAGCACTTAAAAAATGTAAGTAAGCCTGCTTGTCATAAACATATACAGTGACTGTTTTAGACAAACCATGGAGGAAGAAAATTTCTTCCTCCATGGACAAACCATGGAGGATTTTTTTTTAAACTAATTATTCCATGGACAAACACAGCATTATGTTCACTTTCTTATAATAACACATAGAATACCAAAGCTACTATTTTAATTGTTTATAAACAAAATGAAAACATTAAACATTTATAACATGAATGTACACTGGCTTTTACATAAATAAACTTGGTATATAACATGGATAGTAAGTATAAGCACTAAATTCAAAATAAGTGTTTTATTAAGACTGTTTATTAGATTTTGTTATAATCTATATTACAAAACTTAAGAAACATAAAAAGACACCAAATGAAAATGACAAATCGTGCCATTTCATTTTTTTTTTTTAAAACAAATACATATTGCAGCACCCCAGTTGCAGATCCAGGATCCTTTAAGAGTGGAGGCCAGGGAGCTACCAACAATTTCAGAAGATGAATCTACTACCTAGGCAATGCCGTAGCCAGGATTTTCAAACAGTATTAATTACGTATTATAAAGTTAAAAATGTATTATATTATCCACACTGTTCTTTTACGCAAACTTTACTTGACAATATACTGGCCAATAAAACATTTCATCATTAACATTTGCTGATTTCAATAGAAATAAGCAAGGCATATTTAAGTATACTTTTTTTTTGCTTTTCGAGCACATATAAGGTACCAACATGTGGGTACCCATTAAATTTTACAGCAGTTTAGGCATGATTTATCTTATGATATTCTGTCATACAAATGAATTTTGAGATGATTTGAAACAATATACTGAAGTAATAATTATTGCATTAAATTTGAATCTATGTTGAAAAAAAATCTATATATAAATATATATATATATATAAATGTATATATATATATATATACAGATTTATATTTATCATGTATTTTTCTACTTTATTCATCCAATGTAAGAAAAATATACTTTTTCCGTCTGTTCCTAATACTGAACTTTCTGTTGCTAATACTTACTTTCTCTCAGAAGAAATTTCATTGCTGCTTTTTAATCATCGAAGACAAGCGGATGGAATCAGTATGATCAAATATTATCTATGCATTACCTTATTCCATAAATATTGCTTCACTGAAAGGTCAACAGAATTGCTGTTACATTTGTGATAAACAATCTATGCCTATCATTTATTATGAAATGGTATGTTCCAGAATTCAGAGGGCATTATATGTAATTAGTTGTTAAGTTCTATTTTTTAGCTCAGCAACCCTAAAGCATGTGGACTCAATGACCAGGGAAAAGAACTCCGCATTATAAATGCCAGTACCAGTCATAACTTTGAAATAGTAAGTTAATTCCTGTAAAAATTATACCCATCATTTTTTCCACACTATAATGTGGAGAATAGGAATATATTAAAAAGTCAATTTTTAGCTTTGTACCTTTCTCTAATATACATAAGCAAAAAACAGAAATGTAGTCAAATTTTTCATTATTTACATACAGAATTATGTTTATGGATTTAAAAGCAAAATCTTAAACAGCTCCCGTACCTTTGGGACCGTACATGATTTTTGGTGTGGAATATGCCATGACCAACTTTAATACCTGTCTCTTATACACATCTATATTATCTATGCATTACCTTATTCCATAAATATTGCTTCACTGAAAGGTCAACAGAATTGCTGTTACATTTGTGATAGACAACCGCTAGTAAAGATATTTTGTGATAGTTCCTCTCTCTATGCCTATCATTTATTATGAAATGGTATGTTCCATTTTTGTTGTGTTCATTCTTAATGGTATTTTTTCTCATTTCCAAAATTTCAGCATCACATTCCAGGGTTCCAGAATTCAGAGGGCATTATCTGTAATTAGTTGTTAAGTTCTATTTTTTAGCTCATTTTTTTCTAATATCAAAGCATAATAAAAAATTAATTGGGAAAAAATTCCAAGGCACAATGGTGTCTGGAGATGTTATAGTAATTGGCAACTATAAACTCAACTGTTTTTTGTTTTGAAATATATTTGTTTGGGATTCTCAAATTAGAAAACAACCACAACCCACGTTCTAAAACATGTGAATCAGAAGATATATCTTTTTTGATCTTTCATCAAAACTATTGTGAAGCAACTAATACAGACTTCTCAAATACTACGGAACTGCCGTAGTTGCTACAGAAATTTTCGCTAACTACGGACATACGGAAATAGACAAAAATACTACAGAAATTTATCATGGCCTAGATTTAAATATAAATCAGGATCTTTGGTTACATTGTCCCTAGACAATTTGTATTGTCAGATTACTGATCAATTGAGGCATGTTGTGGCAAAATAGCTAAGTTGTAGCAAAAATTGAAATTCAAGTTATTGGTATTTTCAAATACCTGAGTATGTGATCTTTAAAATGAGGGGTCATTTATTCAAATTGGACATTTTAAGCCAAAGTTATTGGAAACTGAAAGTACAGTACTCTTAGAGTATTATTATAAACAGGATTTTGAGTAATTGCCTTTCAAAGTTATTTGTGCATACATTGTTTAATAGAATAAACTATGAACAATAACGTTAAATAACAATTTTTTAACCACCTCCAGAACTAATACTTTGGGACATGATTAATAAGACATTAAACTGTTGATCTATAGTGAAAAACAAATTTGGATTTTTAGGCAATTTTTTGAGCTCCCATAGTTTATATCTCATTTACTCAATACTGGACTGTGCGACAACTTTACCATTTCGCCACAACATGCCTCAATTATTGTGAAAACTAAGAAATAGTGGCCCGTAAATCTTCACCCTGTCCCAATTGTTTGAAATTCCACAGCAATTATTATCCTGTACAGTACCTGTAATTTAAGCAACCCATATTTTGCACTCAAGAAAAACTTTTAGGTGCTATGGAAATTTTGTATTTACTAAGGATATTTGAATACTTGGTTACTGAAATGCATTTTACCCTATTTTCTGCTAAAGTCTGCTAAATAAAACATGCTCTTGAAAATTAATCAAAATATAAAGTAAGAAAAATCAATTACAGAAATTAAATCCTTGCATTTTACAAAAGAAATCACAATATTAAAATATTATATAATACATACAAAAATGTGAAATACAAACTGGAAAAAGTGCTAAACAATCAGTAAAATATTGCACAAATGTTGGAAAAAATAATTATTGCAGCTAGGAGGCAAATGATTGTGCAATGACCATGAATTGACTGTGCTGCACAGCGTACATATAAACAGATCCCCTTTATCAGGAACAAGAGCCGCCTTCCATACTGTGATTTGGGTTTTGGCTTGGCATGGCCATAAAATATTGAAGCTTGTCTAATTTCAACTTATTGCACTTTCATTACATTGAAATTTTTTGATGAATTAAGATGGACGTCAAATTATTTGTGCTTACAAGCTGTTACAGGATTCTATAATACAAATATTACATAATTTTGGTTAATTAGAATAACAGTTTTTATATTTGAAATCATAATAAAGTATAATAATAATAATAATAATAATAATACTATTTCGATGTGCTTCAGGAAAATATCATAGGAGTGATGTTTTGCCCTACCTGACGTATTACTCAGTAAGTCCCCAAATACTTATGAAAAAAAAATAATACTTCAAATTTGATCTGCATTAATTTGCAAGGCGTATAAAATGTGTTTAGCTATGTTTATTTACTACATATACTTCAAACTGACACTTCCACAGTGACTTTGTATAAAACTATGCAAAGAATTATATTTTATAAACGATCTCTTTAAGAACACCATTAAACGGACGTTGAAACATCACAATCTTTCAGGAGTATCAATCAAACTTAACTGACCAATTAGAACAGGGCCAGCATTTACTACTTATCCTGCAAACATACGTATTGTCCCACAGACGCATGTGTCACGTACGTTTACGCTGCCATTTTGTGAGAACTTTAGACAGCAGTACGGAGCTTTCGATTTTGCATGACGCTAGAACAGAACCACTCATGCGTGACCGTCCTGCCGGGTATCCTACGTTCTCTACATACATAGATTTGGCCAAATTGCGTCTATGACGAGGAGAACTTAACATTCTCGCATGCGCAGAAAACTTTAGTTACATCATTGCTGTACGTTCTACGTCCTACCATAGTTGTACAATCGAAAGCTCCCTACTATCCAAGAGGTGGGGTTAGTGGGACAGTCCATTGTACCATAACAAATAATATATCAGATTTATGGCATGGGCAGTATATACAAGAAAAAAGCGTACTGTCACTAATGGTTAAACTGAGTAATTAGCATAAGAATATGGCAGCATTGTATACGCCAGTACAGAGAAGCCATAATATTTTACTCGTAAGCGGTTTGGTGCAACAGGAACGATTTGGTTTCTCGAAGTCAGGGTTTCAATCCGTCGCAGTGCATGCTTGTACCCTTGAGGAAGGCAGTTTATCTGTATTAGCTTCTCTCCACACAGAAGTATAAAAAGGTTCCTAGAGGCATTGCCAGCTCCTGCGCTGATAACCAGCAGCAACCCTAAAGCATGTGGACTCAATGACCAGGGAAAAGAACTCCGCATTATAAATGCCAGTACCAGTCATAACTTTGAAATAGTAAGTTAATTCCTGTAAAAATTATACCCATCATTTTTTCCACACTATAATGTGGAGAATAGGAATATATTAAAAAGTCAATTTTTAGCTTTGTACCTTTCTCTAATATACATAAGCAAAAAACAGAAATGTAGTCAAATTTTTCATTATTTACATACAGAATTATGTTTATGGATTTAAAAGCAAAATCTTAAACAGCTCCCGTACCTTTGGGACCGTACATGATTTTTGGTGTGGAATATGCCATGACCAACTTTAATACTTCTGTTTAATCCGTCTGCTTAAGCCCCTTCACACTGGTTTGAGACTTACCAGCCTTTGGTTTAATGTTCAGAATTGAGTTCACCCTTTTGAGTCCTATCCATAAAATTAAGTTACAAAGTCCCAAGTTGAAAGAATTAAGTCACTTGAATGAGCACATCTAATATTATTTTGCTGCACTTTTTAATACACATCAGCAGCTTAGCTCAGTTGGCTAATCTGGTTAGCAACTGCGTGTGCGCTGAACCGTGGAAGTCTCTAGGTCCCCAGTTCAATACCCATCTCTGCCTTTCCTTGGATTTCAGCTGGAGGGCTGAAAAAAATACAAGTTATAATAGCGCACCGTTTTTCGGATGAGACGTTTAAGCCGTTGGTCCTGTGTGCATTGATGGCCCAATGGCACGTCGAATAACGCAATACACTCTTAGGAAAAGAGTAGGGTATTGTATCCCGGTGTACTGCCCAAACACCACCAGAAGGACCCCACTAGAAATAAGTCTTCTTTCGTGGGCCATCCTTAGTGTTTACACTGAATAAATCCAATCCAATCCAACCGATTTCTGAGAGACAATTGATAACAATGTAGTAAAAACAAATATATATGAGGAAAATGGGTTGTTTTCCATGTGACCTTTGCATGCTTACGTGAGTGCGGGAGTTTGTCTTTTTTGGAGTTTCCTGCGACCCACGGGAGCATTGGGACCTCTGTAGTTAAGACGCACACTATAATTGCTCATTCTGGTGACCGTCTAATAGATTAAATTGATCCATTCCAATCACCTCATCTAATTGCAAACTCATCATTGGGTCTTGTGTTAAAAACTGAAAGTGGGGCATTGGTTGAACTGGTTGGTATGAAGATTGCGTATTTGCTACCTGCAAGACGAATAATATATTTAGATGTTTAAAAATAGACTAACACAAAATCGCTCTTCTACTGTTTACAATACTGCATAATGCAGTTATAGCCACTGTTGTAATGAACTTAAGTAATTCAAGGATGCTTAATTTTCATTTTATTAAAGGGTTGGAGTTCAAATAACATACAAAATCAATCACAAAAACAAAGACGAAAAACACTCTGGCCTAACTCTAGCCCGCCACAAAGATTTTGATCTGGTCCATGTAATATTACTAAAAAATAAATAATTTTTCTGGCTGACTTTCTGTTAATAATAAGAATAACTAGCTACTCTAACATTGTTAACAAGTCTGGCTTTTCTGAGTGTAGCTCGCTGTATTCTAGTGGCATAGAGTTTTGACATGGTAGAGGACACCCTTTGGTTTAAAGGATTAGGTTGGGGGAGAGGTGATGATCCGATGCAACGTTTGACCATTGGCGGCCCCAGCCGCGGATCCGAGGATCTCAGGGGGCATGTAGTCCTGTTTTACACTCTGAAAGTACCATTTCCAGGATGTAGAGGTAAAAGTGGACTCTTTTTGTGGGTATCAGACTCCTACTTGGGAATTTCTGGCATTGGATTGCTTTTAACTACTGTACTTAGTACATGAGTGGATTTTTATGCTCAGAAAATTTCTAGTGGTAGGGTAGGACTATGAGAACCGGGGGCACAAGTTGTTTTTATCCCTCCCCCTTCCCAATGCTACTGCACTCTCAAATTTTTACAAAACAGGGCCATATGAGGCATGTTGTGGCAAAAATGGCTAAGTTGTAGCAAAAATTTAAATTCAAGTTATTGGTATTTTCAAATACCTGAGTATGTGATCTTTAAAATGAGGGGTCATTCATTCAAATTGGACATTTCAAAACTAAGTTATTGGAAAGCGAATGTACAGTACTCTTAGAGTCAAGATAAACAGGATTTTGAGTAATTGCCTTTCAAAGTTATTTGTGCATACATTGTTTAATAGAATGAACTATGTAAAATAACGTTAAATAAACAATTTGTTAACCACTTCCAGAACTAATACTTTGAGACATGATTAATAAGACATTAAACTGTTGACCTATAGTGAAAAACAAATTTAGATTTTTTAGCAATTTTTTGAGCTCCCATATTTTATAGCTCATTTACTCAATACTGGACTGTGCAACAACTTTACCATTTCACCACAACATGCCTCATATTATTGTTGAAAAACCAAAGCTAAAAATAGGCTTATTAGGATCAGACGACTATAAAAGGGTATGGGTGGGGCTGACATTGAAAAAGATTGGAAGTACTGTACACAGTTTATGTCGGGCCCTGCTGGTCTCACCAGATTGGAGCTGGCCACCAGCTTAAAAAGGTTGAATACCCGGGCCCCTAGAACATCCTAAAGAAATCAAACACACACATGCAAATCAGTACAATGCAACCTAGCAGTTTGGCTTCATTTTGTGAGACCTTTGGAACAATACCACACAGGTAGTGCTTAACGGAAAAGTTCGTTAGATATTGCAAC